CCTCAGCGTCGACGTCGTTCTGACTGGTGAACCGGCCGAGAAGGAGGTCGCGCAACAGAGTTGCTCGCTTTCCTGGATCCGAAACAAGACCATCTGGGGTTTGGAGTGGTGGAGCAGCTGATTTAGGTTGCGGCTTAGCCCAGCGTGCCATCCGATACATGTCGACGTCGGTTGTTGCTTCGGAGAACTTTCGCCGCCAGTATTGGCGTTTGGCACTTTTGACTATGCGATGGAAATCCTTTCTGCTCTCTTCGTCCCTGAATATCCTGTATTCGCATTTGGCTTGTGCGCACTCTATCGTCCACCAAGGTGCCGTCCTACCCTTCTTCGCACTCCCGCGTCTTCCAGTAGCCCTAATTGCATCGCTAATGGTTTGGACCAGCTTATCAGCGAAGTTATCTACCGCGCTTATTGAGTCCATTGGCTGTAGCCCTATTCCATGAGCCCATCTACCAAGCACCCTGGCAAAGTCTTCGAGGGCGTCGTCTGTCACTCGAAACGGTTGGCCTGTTTTGATAACAGCTCTAGCTTTCGAGCTCGGACGAGGGACGTCTCCTGCAAGAGTTCTGTGGTCCGATGACGAGTCAAGCTCTATCGAGACGTCTGCAAGGGCTCCCGCGTTAGACCAAACTAGGTCGAGTGTGTTTCCAAGATCGTCAGTCGAGACGCCCAGGGTCGAAGATAGGTCCATGCGGTGCTCGGACATCCATTTGGCGAGCGCTTGGCCGTCACTGTGTAGCCTGGTGGCCATGGGCTGCCAGTCAGGGTGGACAGCATTGAAATCTCCGCCAACTACTGTGGGCCCAGACGGGGCCCATGATAGGAGCGGCGAAAGGCCTGCTCCAGGAGCGCGATACACAGAGACAAACGTGACTCCTTCAACCTTTACGGCGGTAAGATCTGGTGATGCCTCGCAGATTGCTAGTTGTAGGCACTTGGTCCCTTTTCGCGTATAAATGAGGGGGCGTGGCCTTGCGGGGTTGGCTGTGACATGGGGGGGCAAGTGCTTGTCGAACCCGGGATGCGACTTGGTGAGCCAGAAGCCGTCCTTGTGTTGAGTCCAGGGTTCCTGGATGAGTAGGACATCGGTTCCTGAATCCCAGGCGGATTGCAGGATGATGTCTGTAGCGGGGTCTCCTCTGCCCAAATTAGCGCAGAGGAACAATATTGTTGTTGCCATTTTTTGAAGCTCGGTTGGGTTGTGGTCCCTTACGGGCATTGAGCAACGTTTGTATTTTCGTTTTCAGCAGTAGCCTCGGTGGCTTTCTGCTTTGCTTCCATCTCTCTGATCGAAGCGTTCCGTTCCTTTTGACCTTGTTCGCGAATTACCGCCAGCTGGTCTCTTGTGCGTAGCACAGTCTTTCCGCCGGCCCGCGTCGGCCTGGCCATGCAGCTAGGCTCAGTTGCGGCATGTGGCCCATGACAATTGATGTACCTTGGGACGAGCTGTTTGCACTCAGTAGCCTTGTGCTCAATCGATCCACAGCGAGAGCAGCGCTCTGCTCGTGAACAGATCTTGGTTGGGTGGTGTCCCCAGAATCGGTTGCATTGCGCAATTTTGGCTTTACGCTGAAGTTCGAGTAAGCGACCGCTCTCTTCGAAAAGTCTTTCTCCCAGCTTTGGCTTGCCGGTTGCAAAATGCAACACCCAGTCGGTGGACGGCCTAGTCATGCTTGTCGCAAAGGCACGAGCCGAGGTCGGTCTAACGCCTGTCTTTAAGGTCGCTTCCTCCATTACAATCTCCGATGTTACTGGCGTTGGTCCTTCTCAAGTGAAGAGTCTGTCTGGTACATTAGGCGCCAACACTGAGATCCAGTTGTAAGCAGCTTCCAGTTTCATTTACGTGCTCTCCAGGAGTACGGCGCCTGAGAGGAGTGCGTTTCTTGCTCCGTCTCCTTCAGCTAGTATCGCAAACCCTGAGTTGACGATGGTAACCTGCTTAATTGCAGAGTTAGCTAAGCGCAGCTTGCTTGCGAGGCTCATTTTGTTGTAATGAGGAGACATGCGTCTCCATGGGTGGTCGGGCTTGACCCGTAGGAAAACACGCTCGTCTGGGCGAGCTAACTTGGGAGCTGAGGCAGTAGGCCTTGGAGTTTGTGTGGGCCCTGTCGCTTTTGACTTAGGCTCGCTGGCTGGTTACGATTTTGTCGCTGCTGGTGGTGCGGGCTTAGTCTTTTTCCTCACTACCTGAGTCCAAGACCCCTCAGTAACGATGGGGGTTTGTATAGAATCGATGTCGATTGGCCTAGTAGGCTTTGTCGAAGCCGGCTCTTTGCCTTTCGCCTGGCTGCTTTCTCTCGTGAGTATTTGCACTGGTCGTGAAGTGCTCGCGCTATTCTTTCCTCCCGGCCTAGTAGCCGACGCGGGGAGGGTTGTCGTCTTGCTGCTACTGGCAGCCTCTGATGGCCCACTGGATTGGGGCTGGGGGTTTCCGCGCAGGATGTTTGTGATAATGGCCTGTAAAGCCTCTCCATTCTTTTCGACAGCTCGTCGGAGCTGTTTGTCGGTTGTGGCCGCCAGTAGGTTAATGTACCCACTGACAATACGCTCAGCCTCTACAAAGCGTATGTTAAACGCCCTCGCTTCATCTGCGAGGAAGTTAGTCAAGGAAGCACCCATTGACTCGGGGGGGGTTGGGGGCGAGTATTGGCAGCTCGCCTCGCAGATCGGTTCTGCGTTTGCTTGTGTGTTGTTGTAGTGGTGGTTAGGTGGCCCTGTGAGGACCATTTCGACGTCAGGACGCGTCGAATTTACGGGTGGGAGTGGGGGCCAAGAGCCAGCCTCTGCGGAGGACTGGGGCGGCATGGCAAGGAGCAAATCAGAGAAGGTTGAACAGTAGATAATCACGTTTCTGGCGCGTGATTGAGGAGTGTTCTGTTTTGAAAAAAATCTGAGTGTGAGTGTTCTGCTTATTTCGTAGGCGTAAGCCAGTAGGTAAATCTTCGTAGCGTACTAAAGTACTAGCAGAGCACATGTAAAGCCAAGGGATCTGGAATAGCTTTCGTAGTCATAAAGCGCTGTAGCTGCCCGCTCCTGCTCTGCATTGAAAATATAAACATTTTTTTGTGGCATTGCTTCCGTGCACTGACCGAAAGTCTTAGCCCGTCACAATACCATGCACTAGTCGAGTCTCAAGCATCAAACATGTTTAGTAAAGGAGATATCAGTCATCTAGGTCGTGAGTCAGGCTGTGAGTCATGTGTGAGAATCTTAGTTGTTCCAATCATGGGGAAACTTCAGATACATAGAGTCTGAGTTTTCAACATCTTCCAAGGTCTAGATGACTAGGACAAATATCCCACTCGAGACAGTAGATCGCTGGTTCAAATCTGGCAAAGCACAACCACTTTTCTCGCGGCGCTGGTGTAAATGGATGACGAAGGTATGCTTAGATAATCAAAAGTTTTGAATTTTCCTTTGATGGGTACCTACAGAGGAGGGTCGACTGTTTGTGTAAGCGAACATACGTTGTAGTGGTATTTGCAAATGAAATCCAGAGTATGAGTGTCTCTAACATCAAAAGAGTTATCCAACATGTATACATAGCACCTGTCATGTGTCATAGCTAGATAGCTGGAAACACATTAAATGATAATAAATATTAAAAAGAGGTATGTTCGCTTACACAAACAGTCAACTCTCATCCGTGAATACCCACCCAGGGGAACGTCTCCAAAACCCTGAATTATCCAGACATGCCTCCATCATCCACTGATTTGTCTTCGCGCGAAATATGGTCCGAGGCGTCTCCTTCTCAAGTGGAGAAAAAGCCCAGGTGTGACTGAAACCGAGTCGGTGTTGAATAAATCGATTTATTAAACTATATGAGGAGAAAGGACAACTCTAGCTACTACTAGCAGGTATTTATGAGAATTGGTCTCTTTCGTCAATCTCCAGTCTGATGACTTATCCTTAGGCACAATACTTGCTACCCAGCCACGCATTGCCAGGTGTTACTTAGTTGTAGTAACGCTTCGACCTCCTGACTAGTAGTGCCGTCATGTTCAACTTCATCTATCCATCACCATGCAGCCCTGTTGTAAACATTCTCAACAATACACTTAGGTGAATACCTAAGTTTAAACAACGGTCAAACCGTAAAACCAGGCTACTCAAACTATACTAGAGAACTCCACCAAGAGGCGGGCCACGGCACGTTCCATCATTGACTTGTGTTTAAAGTGTCAACTGCACTCTCGCAAGCGAAGTCTTGGCGCGTAAAAAGCCCAGTTCGTAAATTTCCTTGCCAAACTTCATAATATCACGCCCGTCGAAGTTTTATCCTTCCTCTAGATCATCTTGTGAACTTGTCTTGATCCCCCTCACGTATGTCCCAAAGAACTGTCTCCCAGATTTGTGCACCACGCTTTGCTTCCTCCGTCGGGTGTAAATATCGGCCTGGGCGTGTCTTTGGCGACCAACTGAGGTCAGAGAATGTCGATGAGAGGTGTGGTCATTGGAATAAGGATGAACTAGGTCGTACTTGTAGACTTGATGAGGCTTAGGTGAGAGTTAAACTCGTAGGGAGCGAAACAACGACGTGGTGGATTATTTTGAATTATTGCCTCGTGGGCCAACTTGTTTGGTATTGCGAAATTTGACTGAACTCGGCTCTGGGAGAATATTTGACTCCCATGTTCGTAGAGGACACCGCGTACAGGTATTAAGGCTTACCCTCCAGGAAAATTGGTTGAGTTGCTTTAAAGCTCTCTTGCAATAAATTACCGTTGCTGTTGCCCTTTTATGTTTATATCAAATAGATGTCACATGATGTAACCACTATTACAGGCTTAAGCCTGGTTATGTTATCTAAGTGCCTAAATATCAAGGCATAAATTAAAGTTTCCTAGTTTAATTACAAGTACATCATGCACTTCCCTACACGGCTCACAAGGCCTGGTAGAAGTCTGAATCCACCTTATGCAATTATACTCTTAAATGGAGACTAAGATTACAGACATAACGACTCGACTATTGAGGTGGAGTAGGAGGTCACGCTTATGGATATCATTGCTGCACATGCTATGCCACAGCAGGAGAATCAGGAGCAGCACGAGGAGGACAAGGAGGACGAGGATAAGAGGGCAGCTGAGCCGCCTTCTACAATTAACCAAGCACTAAATGGCGTCAAGCACCTACTCCGCTTCAAGGAGCTTGACCTAGATGGCAACTACAAGGGGCTCACAATACTCATGCACATTGAAAGAAGCCTCCAGCAGCAGGCAGAGCATAAAAGAGGTTAAGGTACATTAGATAGCTGGTTTATATAATATATGATCTAGGGAAATATCACAAATGATGTGCAAGGAGTAAAGATTTCATTAAATGGACTAGGTATCTGTTGATAAATTGGAACTAAGAAGTTTATCCCAGAGTGAAGAAATGTGATTGATTGATCTTTATGAAGTATTCCATCTCTCTTTAAATACAAGTCCTTCCGTCCTTCATCCGATCACCCACGTACAGACCATATTATCTCCCCATACTATTGTGCAAGCTTAATGTGTCAAATAGTCCTAAGTATGAAGTAATGACATGATTAGTTCCAATATTGCGAACAGCAACTGTCATGAGTGACTAATACTAGTACTAGTATATGAGTCGTAGATAACACGAATATAGATAGTTACAGGAATACGACTCGTACATGATTACATGAGTACAAACAGTTACAGAATATTTTCACAGATAACGTCAGGTAAAATGTTTAGAGCTCAGTATGTCTCACGTGAGATCTTGGCGCACTTAGCTTGCAGGGCTATATGTAATTTCTTGTCAGTTTCACATCGCTTTGGATGCAGGTCATGGTTAGGTTGACAGTATCTAGATATGTAAGGATTATTAAGAGAGTGGAGTCACAGTGGCGAGAATAGAAAGGGGGTAAGATAAGGTATGTGGAGAATATGTATAGTAGTTTTCACGGATCCGTAAATATAATTTTAATACTAATATTAATTTGTGATAAGATGAAGGGGTAGTTAATTAAAACCATCAATTTAATAATAGCTTCCCCTATACAATTAGTCATGTAAAACGTCATGTAAGGATATACAAGGGAGTCATGAAGAGAAGGACAAGAACACAGCCATCAATGCGAAGATATTGGCAAGAATTGATTACGATTAATTCCGGCTGGCAAATGCTTCTACTCTTGTATATAATAGTTCAGCGTGAGAGAGATTTACTCCTCACGTAACGTCTTCTTTATTTACCCTTTACAATACATTTGTTTACCCATCTCTTCTTCGGGAAGACCATTTATCCATTGCCCAGTTCTTCATCAGCAAGACCCACGTGTAACATCTACTGCAACTAGTTGCCCATTCATCTCTTCCTAGAGAAGACCTGTCATTCCTTTGACCCATTTACAACCTTCACTTACCACCTAGATCTTTACTAGGCTATACAACGCACCCCGTGGAACACTATCAAACCCTCATCCCTGAGAGTAGTGCAGTAAGATATATGAAAAATGTGTGTGTGCTAAATACAGAGGGTGAGGGGGTTTAAACAAATCACTCAGCTGACTAAGCAGCATTTTCTAACACGCCCCCATTCTACAATACTATAGGGCCTCGTTAACTCCCACAACACTGGAATGTGTGACTCCTACATCTCTGCTTGAAGAGTTCAGTAGTCCTGCAGAAAATGAAACTGCATCGCGGTACAAGAGTACTCTTTTCCCTCTATCATCATGGCATGCTATCTTAATGCCCCAAGTATCAATATCTGCTTAAGATAGGGCGTTAATTATTCAATTAGATAAACCTAATTTGAAGGACAATTTTGTAAACTGATCTCTTGGTAACTGTTTCGTTAAAATATCTGCAATCTGTTCAGTTCCTGGCATAAATACAACAGTTAGTCTCTTCTTCATCACCATGTCATCTCGTATGTAGAAGTGCCTCATTTCGATATGTTTAGCTTTTCTGTGAAATTTGGTGGTTTTGGCGAGCTTTATTGCAGCCTCGTTGTCTAAATGTAGCAATGGGGGATTCATTACTCTAATATTTATATCATGTGCAATTTTCTCCATCCAAGCAATTTCTTTTGCGCCTTCACTAGCGGACATGATCTCTGCTTCCATTGAGCTCTGCGCTGTGATTTTCTGTCGGTTAGCGGACCATGTTACGGCGCCCCCATTCCAAATAATGGTTTGTCCTTGGAAATATTTCTTATTGTTTTCTGTCCCCCATGTTGCATCTGTCCATGCTGCCCAAATATTTGTTGAATCGGTAAATCTGTATTTAATCCCGAGCGACCTTGTGCCATTTAGGTATCTGAGTAGATGTTTTGCCATACTTAGGTGGTTGGAATTTGGGTCAGACATAAATCGCGCAAGTTGTCCTACTGCATACAATATATCTGGTCTTGTACCATTAGAAATATAGAGGACAGATCCAACTATTTGTCGATAGAGGCAAGCGTCGTCATTTCCAAGTTTATGATAGCCATCATTTTCAATAGTTGGCTTTAGCACTGTTCCTGATGGAAATGGGAGATTTTTCGGAATGCTTTTCTCCATTCCTAGTCGCTGAACGAGTTTGGTGGTGTAGGATGTATGATGAATACGAATTGTACACTTTTGCCTGTTTCTTTCCACTTGAATTCCAACAAAAGTGTCGACTGGTCCCAGCGACTTGCATTTCCATCTATTCATGATATCTGATTTAACAGTATTTACCTTATTCCGTTCTCCGATGATTAGCATATCATCTACGTAGAGAAGTACGTACACGCCTCGACCAATAAAGAGATTTGGATCAGAGTCCCCTCCTTTTAAAGATATTTTTTTAAAATGATCTTTGACCTCTTTAAACCAAATGTGTGGTGCCTGTTTTAAACTGTATAGAGATTTATTGAGCTTAAGATAATTATTATCTTGAGTAATACCTGGATTTTGCAAGGAAAAGAAGTCGGGTATCTCCATGTAAATCTTCTCTTCCAAGCTTGGATTCAGAAAGGCAGTATCCACATCTAGAGCTTCGATCTCAAGATCTTCTGTAGCAGCCTTTGATAATAGTACCCGGAGTGTGTTATAGCGTATGACAGACGCGAAAGTCTCAAAGTAGTCAATACTGTATTGCTGTTCAAATCCTCGGACAACGATTCGTGCTTTTCTCCTTTCTAAGTTGCCATCACTCTTGAATTTCTTCCTGAGAACAATTTTGCTAGATATTATTTTCTTTCCAGGTGGAGGTGAGCCAGTCATGATAGTGTAGGTGTTTGTAGCCTGTAGAGAGCGCAATTCTGATTTTATTGCCTCCTTCCATAACCGGGGATCTTCATGGATGGCCTGCTCAACAGTAATAGATTCAAATGGAGGAGTGGACACTTGAGCCGATGAAGACTCACCAACATTAATATGGACTGCTTATGCAGAGATAGCATTTGCAGTAATGACATGGTTGAATACAGCCTTCGCCGTTCTTCTCAGCGGTCTACCAAATCTCGATTTTGGCGGGGAGCAAGGAGACTGACCGATTGATGATTCAATGGCTTCGTGAATAATCTCAGGAGTATTCTCACTTGTGAGCATGTGCTCTGCTATATTTACTTTCTCCGCTAGCTCTATGGTGGCTTCCTCCTATACAGAAGTAGGACAGTTGGCCTTAACCATGGCTTGTGAGATTTTCTTCCGCGCATTTTGGTGGCAGCCTCCTTCACGCATTAAAACGGTAGTCTGATGCTCTGCCATATTGCTGCTGGGTATCTGTTCTACCATATTGGGAGCCTTCTGTAAATAACGTTGATCAAACGTGTCTCTAGCCTCTCTCGGGCGAGTTACAGGATTTTGCAATTCAGAGTCATAACCTCGAGAATTCTCAGTCTCAATCGGGCGAATTGCAGCGTATTTGTTACGTGGTTGCTTGACACCTTTCTATCTAGCTTCTATAGGCTGAGGCTGGTACATCTTTGTTCGCACTAAAGGTACTTGTCTCGGTGTTGGCATATCTGGCTTACCAGGTAGAGCAAAGAGTGCAATATCAATTTTAGGAAATTCATATTCATTAAACTCAACATCTGCAGAGATTGTGTCTCTTAGGGTAAGCGTATCAAGTAGCTTCCAAATTTTCGTAGAAGTCATTCCTATCATAATAAATTTTCCTTCTCTGATATGCGGTTACCATTTTTGAGGATTTAACTCGGAAGGGTAAAGTACGTCTGCTTTCCAACCGAATACCTTGAGATGAGTGAGATCTGCAGGATTCCCATGATATGCACTGTATGGAGTACATTTGATCAGAGTATCATTGTTATTGAAGGGTAGCGCGGATGCAGGGGCTCTATTTTTGATCCAGGCTGCATGCTCAATAGCATAATCCCAGAGCTGATGAGGTAGTTGTACTTTGTACAACATGGATCTTGTAATTATAGCTATATTACCCATCCATCTTTCAGCTACTCCGTTCATAGAATGTTTGTATGTAGGACTTGGCTCTAACACTATTCCTACTCCCTTCAAGTAGTGTTGAAGGGCAGAGCCAAACTCACTCCTACCGTTGTCGGCTCTCATGTAGATAATTTTACAACTGGATTGTAACTCAGCTTCAGCTTTAAGTTGCTTGAATGTGGTCAGAACTTCGTTCATCTCCTTTGTCTTCAAAAGTCTGACCCAATACATTCTTGTTGCATCATCTACCATAAGAAAGTAGAATCAATATCCACGAACAGAGATGGACTGGATACCTGAGATATCACAATGAATTCGACGAAGAGTGGTAGTTGAGCAACTGTCAGATTTCTTGTTGAAAGTTTCTTTCATTTTCCCTGCTAAACATGGTTCACAGGATTTCGATCCAATGGGAATTGATCTTTTCTTATTTGGGATAGTTAGACCAGTATGACCAGCTTTCAATATATTGTTAATGTCTTTGATGTTGATGTGGCCCATTCTTCTGTGTAAGATTTCCCATTCTATCTCAGTTTCTTGTGGTATTTTTAGGCTAGCTGTTATGAATTTGTTAGATTTAATCTGGATGTGGTGATGCAGGGGTTATCTTCTTAATTCGGTTAGATCTGAGGCTACAGGATTTGAATTTGTTCAGGCTGGAAATTTGAATTTGTTCTTTAGCTCTAACAATTTTGTTACTTTTACATTTATTGTATAATTTGCTTATTGGGAACTCGATATTTTGATAATATGATAATTTGAACATATGAATTCGTAACTTTGATAATCCGAGCCTCAATTACCTTCATTTGTACCTTCGCACATTTGACATTTGCACCTTTGACCTTC